TTCTTTCCCCCTCCCCAATCACTCTCCCCACCATTGTCCGTGTCCTTGGGTTGAACCCTCTCAGTTTTATTCTATTGTTTTGTTAGTCTCTATTTATTTTTGCTTTGATCCTTATTTCATCCTTCTACTCACTTTGAGCTTTGTTTGTTCTTTTTCTAGTTCCTTTAGGTGTGAGGTTAGATTGCTTGGTTGAGATTTTTTTGTTTCTTGAAGGTCTGTATTGCTATAAGTTCTCCTCTGAGAACTGCTTTGGCTGCCCCACAGATTTGGGGGGTTGTGTTTTCATTTTCATTTGTCTTAAGGTATCTTTGGAGTTCTTCCTTGATCTGAGTCTTAACCTGTTGTTTGCTAACATGTTATTTATTTAGCTTCCTTGTGACTGTGGTTTTCAGGTTTTTGTTTGCTTGTGTTTTTTTTTTGTAAATGATTTCTAATCGTACCATTCTGATTGGAGAAGATGCTTGATATGATATGAGTTGTCTTAAATTTATTGAGACTTGTTTTGTGTCCTAACATGTAGTCCGTCCTGGAAAATATTCCATGTGCGCTTGAAAAGAATGTATATTCTGCTGCTTTGGGGTGAAATGCTCCAAAAGTATCAATTTAATCCATCTGGTCTAATGTGTTTGTTCAAGGCCACTGTTTCCCTGTTGATTTTCTGTCTGAATATCCATTGATGTCAATGGGGTGTTAAAGTCTCCCACTATTAACACAATACTGTCATCTCTCCCTTTATGTTAGTCAGTATTTGCTTTATATATTTCAGTGCTCCTTGGTTGGGTATGTAAAGGTTTACTAGAGTTACACCCTCTTGTTAGATTGATACCTTTATCATTGTGAAATGCCCTTCTGTGTTTCTTGGTACAGCCTTTGTTTTATAAAAGCATCACAGCTTTTTTTGTTTGTTTCCATTTGCATGAGATACCTTTTTCCACCCCCTTACTTTCGTTCTGTGTGTGTCTTCTGATCTGAAGTGGCTCTCTTGTGTAGGTAGCTTATTTGTGGGCCTTGTTTATTTTCTTTATTCAGCCACCCTATGTCTTCTGATTGGAGCATTTAGTCCAATTACATTTAAAGTAATTGTTAATAGGTATGTAGTTATTGCCATTTCATTGTTTTCTGATTGTTTTTATGGTTCTGTGTTCCTTTCTTATTTTCTTGCTCTCTTCCCTTGTTATGTTGATGGCTTTCTGTAGTGTTATGTTTGGATTTCCTTTTATTTCTTCGACATATCTTGTAGATTTTTGTTTTGTGTTTACCATGTACTTCATATATACCAAGTATGTCATCAATTATGCATCCATGCAATGGAGCACAAAGCAGCTTGAAAATGATGTAGATTTGTTTTTACCAACATGGAAAAGTTTCCATCATATAGTTTATGTGTGAAAATCAGGTTGAAGAATGTTTACTAAGCATGCAACAGTTTCATAAAGCACATGTGACTATATCCATATATACCTCTTGATTAATGAAGACACTATTAGTGTATATACCAGTGAGGTGAAAAGTGGTTATCTGAGTGGTGATTTTATTTTTCTTCGTACAGTTTAAAATATTTACAAGTTTCTGCATTGTAATTCCTATTGTTTTTATCATCAGAGTGGGAACAGTGAAGTTCTTTTTAGGTGAGGAGGTGGAGGGAAGTTGAGGATGGGAATGGAGGCAGTGTTTTTAGACGCCTCAGATCTGTAGTCCTCTGTAGCCCTTGTCAGGTGGCCTGCTGACCAGCAGAACCCAGTGTTGCCTCTGCTGGGTGCAATGTGGAGGGGTGATACCTGGGACCTGAAGGGCCTATGGCATGTGGGATCCCCTTCTGACTGTGCTCTGGCTGCCACTCTCATGGCATCATGAAGTTTTATGCCAAGATCGCCTGCAAGAACTTTATAGAACTCTTTGTCCATGCCATAGGTTCTAAAGTTGGCAAAAGTCTTTGTGCTTCACGTGTGCCAGGGCAAGCTGTGCTTTGGGACCACTGACTCCAGGGTCATTCAGGAGGTGAGGGAGTGATGTGAGGTGAGGTGGGGAGACTTCTCCCGCCGGTTTCCCATGGAAGGTGTTTCAGAAGAGTTAAACGAGATTTATTTAGAGCTGGTACCTGAGCATTTGTTCATAGCAGTGAGAAGCATAGGGAATGCTTTTGCCCTGAAGCTCCAGCCAACCAACAGGCTTTTGTCCCAGCCTCATGGTGGCTGTGGAGCTGCCATTGCCCACAGGTTGGATCTGCCTGTGAGGGTGCTTTCCAGAAGGGTTTGGGAAGATTTCCCAGAGCTTAGAGATCAAGCCTGTGATGTTTCATTTATCTGCCAATTTTGAAGACTGAAGAGCATTGTAGAAAGGATGGCAAACGTGGGTGATCAAGTGCTTGTTGAAGCAAATCTAAATGGCAGAATGCACTCAAGTGTAGAAACTGATATAGTGTCTATAAAAGGCTATTTTAACGATCTTGGAAATTCTCCAACGCCTGCTAAGGGTATGCCTCAAAATAGAAATCTGGAGAGCATGGTGCACGTGCGGGTGAATAATAGGAAGCTTCTGCAGTTTTTTGAGGGACAAAAATAAATCCTGCAATGGCCTTATGCAATATTTTGAGCAATATTCTTCATCTTCATATGTCACTCTTCAGTATTTATTTCTTGCCTCATAAAATTTCAACCAGCCTGTATATTTTTTTAAAGCTTATGGTGCCTGGCCAGGTGTGGCTCAGCGGTTGGGCGTGGACCTGGAATCCAGGCGATCGGGGTTCGATTCCCGGTCAGGGCACATGACTGAGTTGTGGGCTCGATCGATGACTCTCTCATCATTGATGTTTCTGTCTCTCTCTCCCTCTCCTTTCCTCTCTCTGAAATCAATAAAGATATATTTAAAAAAAAAAAATAAAGCTATGGTATTTTCAAAGCTGAAACAGACCCTGAGTGAATTGGTTAAGAGTCTGTACCTCACTGGCTTATATGGGATGTACATTCTGTCGGGCACATCTTCCTTTGTAAAGCTTTCACTACTGCATGATGGTGAAAGAGTTGAATAGTTTTTTTTTTTACAGATAGCAATTTTTTCTTTTAGTATATCTTTATTGATTTCAGAGACAGGAGGGGGGAGGGGAGAAAGAGATAGAATCATTGATCGGCTGCCTCCTGCACCCCCCCCCAACCCGGGCATGTGCCCTGACCTGTAATCATAGGTCGATGCTCAACCACTGAGCCATGCCAGCTGGGCTGGGTATTTAATTTTTATGCTTATTGGCTTTGCCAGTTTTTTTCCTACTTTTTCAGATGTCAACAAAAAACCTCACCAGTTTTCTACTTCAGTTCTTTTTTGGGGAAAAAGGATTGTAAGAAAATAAATAAAAATAATTTTGAATCCTGAAATAATTGGATCACTATTTTATTATAAAATGCTACTGTGTAAAATGAGAACTTCAGCAAGTATAAACATTTTCTGAGGGATTTTTCTTAATTTAGAGAGCTCAGTATGGTATCTGAAAGATAGAAGGTTTTTAGCATTCATATGTATTACATAGCCTTTGCTAAGCTGTGTGTCTTTTTTTCAAAATACATACTAGTGAATATTCATGGCTTTAGATTTATCATCTGCAAAGTTTGAGGTGGTTATTTATTAGGCTCACTAATAATGCATCTTACACAAGAATTCAAGGAAAGTCAAGTTTATGTGGACCAAGATGTTTCTTGTGTGTAACTTTTATGTCAACCATTTTTCCATTCCTCCCCCAAAATATTGTTATTCCATTTAGAAAATAATTATTAATGGCTTTATTATTTTGAGAAGAGGAAGGAGGGGTTTTAAAGAGCTGGTACAGTGATTAAGAGTCTCATGGAGGCCTGGCTGGTGTAGTTCAATGGTTGAGAGTCTACCCATAAACCAGGAGGTTGCAGGTTCAATTCCCTGTCAGGGCGCATGCTGGGTTTCAGGCTTGATTCCTAGTAGGAGGTGTGCAGGAGGCAGCCAATAGATGTTTCTCTCTCAATGATGTTTTTATTTTTCTATCCCTCTCCCTTCCCCTCTCTCTCTTTAAAAAAAAAAAAAAAAAAATCAATAAAAATATATTTTAAAAAAAATCTCATGGAGAGGGGAGGTTTTATTAAACTTTAGTTTTTTAATGGTTGATGCAGTAAGAAAAATCATTAACCTTGCAGCCTGTATTTTTGCAGACTCAGTAAATTTGCATGACCACATTTCCATCAGTAATGAATAATTTCCCACTAGATTTGGTGATTAAATACTTACAATTTGTTATTATTGTTACTATTACTATTATTTGCTGATTTCTGAATTCCATTCATGATGTTGCAGAAAGATCACAGAAACATGAGACCTAGGCAAGTCACTTGAACTTCTAGCTGCTTAGGATATCTTTCAGTGTGAATAGATTCTGATTTAGTACTCTGAGGGTTATAATATAAGATTAAAGAGTTGGTTTCAGAAGTACTTCAAAAGTATCTTTGAAATTGTTAATAACCATTTTGGAGTTATAGTTTAAGCTTTGTGAAGCTGTTTACTTTCTAACTTCTGAGTTATACACAGTTGTTTGATAAATATTTCCAAAGCTGTTTGTGGAGATTTTTTTGGAAAGCTATTTTTAATGTTTTTTAAATCCCCTGCCCTCATCAGCATTTTTGTAGCCTTTAAATGCAAGATGAAAATGCAAAACAAATGTTTTAATACAGTGAGAAAGTAAGATCTGCAGATTTCTTTTCTATGCCATAACATAGAAATGACTTGTGCTTGTTTCTAGTAACCTTCCAAGATTTTCTTTGATTTATTAATTAATTGAGAATTTTCAAGCTGTAGTAGAAGTCTGTCTTTTTACCTATTTTGTCCCCTCTCCTTCCCTCAGATTTCCCCCCTTCCCCCTCCCCATCTATCTTTGGGAAACAAATAATTACATTTTAATCTATGGTGAATTTGTTGATGGTGGAAAACAGGCCCTTCCACGGGGATCTTGGGAAAAGCATTTCAAGGATTCACATGGGAAATTGTGGTGTGGCATAGTTTATTTGTGATGTAAAATCAAAGGAGTTCCCCTCCTGGCTTTCCAGTCTCCCATCTGTTTGTCCTACCTTGCATAAAGTCCAACCATGTTTTCAGCAAGGTCAAAACAAAAGCGAGTGCCCAGAGTTTCTGCTTTATATTCCTTTGGAGCCCGTGTAGTCTGCAGGCCCTGGTAGCTGCTAGACCTGCATGGTCGCATGGTTGCATGGTCTGGTGCTCCCTGGCTAAGGAACAAGGAGAGACCAGTGCGGGTCACACAGAGAGGGGGAGAGAGGGAGAAACATTGCTTCATTGTTCCACTTATTCATGCATCATTGGTTGATTCTTGTATGTGCCCTGACCCAGAATTGAATCTCAACCTTGGCATATGGGGAAGACTCTCTAACCATCTGAGCTACCCGGCCAGGGCCTATAAATGCTTTACTTTTAATAATTCATAAACAAAAAGACTAGGGTCTTTGCAAAGTAATTTTTGAAAATGAGGATACTTTATTCCTCTACTTAATCTGCAGGGATATGTTGCTATTAAAGGAAAATAAATAGGCCACCTAAAACTCTAACATCTGAATGTGAGGCCTTAAAAATTTATATTTTCCTAGTGATCAAGTAAAAAATGCTTTATAATAAATACAAAAATTTTCGAATAACATTATCTTATAGGTTAGTTTAATTGTGAAAAGCTAAGAAGTGCCTGTTTCTATAGTCTTACATTAGTAATCAAATTTAAAAGCTTGGTTCTATAAGTAAGATCAAGANTTTCTATAGTCTTACATTAGTAATCAAATTTAAAAGCTTGGTTCTATAAGTAAGACTTTCNGTGAAAAGCTAAGAAGTGCCTGTTTCTATAGTCTTACATTAGTAATCAAATTTAAAAGCTTGGTTCTATAAGTAAGATCAAGAATAGGATCAAGAATTAAAAGGGGCCTTAAAAATGATCCCATCAGCTGTAAAGAAGAAGGACCTTGTATCCTTTGGGACAGTGTGGAAGGACCTGAAGAATATTATGCTAAGTGAAATAAGCCAGGCAGAGAAAGACAAACATCACATGATCTCGCTTATATGTGGAATCTAAAGAACTTAATAAACTGATGAACAGAATAGATTCAATGACATGGAAGCATAGATCAGACTGACGAATGTCAGAGGGAGGAGGGTTGGCGGGTGGAGGGGGAGAGATAACCAAAGAATTTATATGCATATATGCACAACCCAAGGACAGGGACAATGGTTGGGAGAGGGACTGGGGAGGGGTGGAACGGGTCATTGGGAAGAAAAAGGGACATCTGTAATATTTTAAACAAAAGTAAAACAAAACAAAAAAGTTAATTAAAGTATAAAATCATAAAAATTACATGTATATATCTTAAACATTCTAACCTGAAACATTTTAATGTACATTTATTCACCAATTTTTGATGAAGGGCTAAGTTCTCTCTGATTAGGAAAAAAAAAAAAAAATGATTCCATCTAGCAACCTTATTTATAGGTGAGAAAACAGTTTCAGAGAGCATAAAAGTAGCCAAAGGTTTTTAATTGTTTCTATCAGAATCCAGTTTAGAACCCAGGTCTCCAAACTATTCCTATATTTTAAGTCTATCAAGGCTTAGTTAAAAGACTTACAACTTGGATGTACTTTTGTTTATTAAAATAAATCTAGTTTACATCTGTTAGATATCTAAAAAGATAAAATTTAAATGAAAAAAGGTTTAAAACCTTTTTGAAGGGCATTGTCATATTGTCCTGTGTGAAGATACGTTTGCTCTTGCAGGTAGGAAGACATTTGTCACAAAATGGTAATTCTATGGAAAATCAAGACCTCACATTAAAAAAAAAAAAAAAAAATCAAGGCATCAAATTTAGAAATTATGTTAGCTTCTTTCATTAATTTCTTTTAGAGAAATGCTACCAGGAAGCAAGAAAACACTAATGCCTTTATGTTTTACTGTATTAAAGAAAATAAATCATTGATGAAATGTATTAAACTGCCTTCTTATATCTAGAAATGTGTTTTAATTGTTCCACGAAATATACTTGCTAAAAGTTACTAAGAGAGATTGCTCATAAATATATGTTTATAAGTATAAGAGTAACTTAGTGAATAAACATAAACATCAGTGCCAACCAATATCAAAAGGAATTAGACAAATGTCTATTGGCTGGTTAACCTGTAAGGGTCCTCCTAGTCCTGTTTACCCCATTCAGGTGTACGTAGTTGAAAAATGCTTGTATATTGACATAAGTCTGGAGAAGCATTAGTATTACATTTCTTATTTTAGCAAACCTATAACTGTTTGGTAATTGACAGGATATACCTGTGTAGTTTGGCTCTTAGGCTAAGAGCTAGTATGTAATAATTTGAAGCTCCTCTACCTACACTTGTGCATATATGTAAAATTGCCAGTAGATAACTCAGTACGGTCAACCTTTATCATTTGCCCATTTTTATCATTTAATCCTTTGTTTATTATTAGCATACTTGTGCAGGGATATTGCTTAATAAAAGTGGCTTATTCTGTATCTGTAATAATTTTTCTTACATAAGACTAGCTACTTTATCTCTTGTCTCTCATTCTTATTTCAAAAGATGAAATTAGCTTTATGTATTAAGTTTTATACCTATAGTTTAATACCCATGTATTAAGTTTTCATCACACTATTTTTCTGGAAACAAGGATTATGGAATATTTTTGCTTAAAATTTGGTTATTTATAAAGTGAACTAGACCAGATTTCAAAGTAATCAGTTGAAGCCACGTGCTTATCTACAGGGTGTCCCTCCAAAATTGTATACAAACTTTAATAGCTGATAGCTCAATTTTGAAAATGAAATGTATTTTAATGAACACTGCCTTTATAATTATTCAAAGTGTGTATATACGTTTTTTTGGGACACCCTATATTTTATAGTCTAATACTGCAGATAGGGTTTAATAGTGTCACGTTAATTAAATCACCACTCAGTGGTGGTTTAATTTTCCATGCCAATTGATTGCAGCATTTTCCTTTGTCAAGAATTGGCTTGTAGCCTGGCTGGCCGTAGCTCGGTAGTTGAGTGTCGGCCTAGGATCCAGTAGATCATGGTTCGATTACCGCTGAGGGCACATGCCAGGTTGCGGGCTCGATCCCCAGTCGGCGGCGTGCAGGAGGCAGCCAATCAGTGACTCATCACTGATGTTTCTCTCTCTCTCTCCCTCTTCCTTCCTCTCTCTGAAATCAATAAAGATGTATTAAAAAAAAAAGAAATTGGCTTGTAGACATTAATCAGTGAGGCAGGTTAATTATTTATTCTTAATACTTGCTTTTCCAGCAGTTTTATGGTATCTTTGTGGCAGTATAATTTTTCTGGAAACTTTGTGTTGAAATATGCCTTTTTTCTCATGAAAGTTTTTATTAATATATGTTACCTTACTAAATTTTAGATTTATCAGTTTATAATAGTTTTCAAGTACATTTTCAAAACAATCTTTCCAAACTCTCTTGTCTGTGTTTAGAAACATATTTAAAGAGATACCAATAGTACATCACATCTTATTTCTGATACTTCTATAATTTTTTGTGTCAACTACAAAATTACCTAGTGTGGTTGTTTTTAATATCAGTTTATTCATTGCTTGTTGTGCATTTTGCTAATGTTAAATGTGAGAATAAATATCTTTTGGCTTTGACTGACAGTGGGTCTTGTGTGTTGATTGGCGGAAGAATATTAATTTGATGTAGTTTTGTTTTACTTTAAAAGATTACCAAAGCATTATTAATTTTATTAATAATATTACAATTAATATTAATTTTATTAATATTAATAGCATTATTATTACTATTAATTATCTAAAATATGTTTTTAATGATTTTAGAGAGAGAGGAAGGGAGAGGGATAGATAGAAACATCAGTGATGAGAGGGAAACATCGATCGATCGGCTGCCTCCTGCACACCCCCTATTGGGGGTCTAGCCTATAACCCGGCCGTGTGCCTTGACTGGGAATCGAACCCATGACTTCTTGGTTCATGGGTCAATGCTCAACCACTGATCCACACTGGCCAGGGCCAAAGCATTATTTTTTATTTTTATTTCAAATTTACAGAAAACTTTCAAGAATAGTAAAAGTAACTCAGTCTTGTAAACCTTTTTATTAATGGTAAATAACAAGCGTAAATCTTTTTATCAGACATACCAATTGTTTATTTTTGCCCCATTTTTTAATTTAAAAAATATTTATTTTCAAAATTATACAGTAAAACTGACTTCTTGGGCAGGGATGGTACACTTCTATGAATTTTAACTCATTTTTCATGTAGCCACTACCACAATCAGGATACATAAATATCCCATCACTCCAAAAAAGCTCCCTTTATAATTATACCCACCTCTTACCTCTCACCTCTTGCACTTATCAGTCTGTTCTTCATACCTATAGTTTGTCTTTTCTAAAATGTCAGATAAATAGAATCACATGCCTTCTCATGTTGACTTCTTTCACCCAATTTAAAACCTCCCTGGAATGTTTATTTTTTAGAAAATTTTTCCCATATGCCTTTCAGATGATCATCCACTCAGGATAAGCTTCCCAGTTTTAAGGAAGTCAATCAGGTATTCTGAAGGTTTTTCCCTAGGAATGGAAAGTGAGATACGCTGCGGGATCCTGGTAGTCAGGTCTTAGTTTTAATGGCTCCTGGTTCTGTTCCTCCAGTATGTGTGTGAAAGTGCTCCGAGAGCTGGGAGACAGACGGCGGGAAACGGAGCACTGGCACCTTCCCTGCTGAACAGTGCACCTGAAACCTGGTGTGGCTTTATTTTATGTTGAAGCCACATGTCTTCCTGGAGATGAAGAAAGGTAGTATTTGCGGTTTCCCTGCACTCTTCTGGTGCATCGCCAGTCCCTCCTGCAGCAGGTTTTGACTTCAGTTCTTCAGTTCCTTCTCCGGTTCTGTCCATCTTCTGTAGCGTCTGTGTTGCTATCATCTGCTTTTTGGCAAACTCGAGAAGCTCGTCCTGGGCAGTGTTTCAGCCTTCCACTCTTCAGGGGGTCTGCTAGCCAGAAGTTCCTCCTGCGTGAGACTTCCCAGTTCCAGCAGTGGCTGGGGAAGCCACCTCCTCTTGGACAGGGTCCTTCTTGGCCACTTGCCCACTGCAGCCCCATAGTTCGCAGCCCAGAAGCCCAGCAGCTCAGCCCCACTGCCTCCACAACTCCTGCTGCCACTCCTCATTTGTTTTTATCGTTCTATTAGTCTATCTCTATAGACTTGTTTGAACCATTTGAAAATATGGTGTAAGCATAATCCTTTTGTTCCTAAGTACGTGAGTATGTAATTAAGAGCAAAGACATTCTCTTATATTACCATAGTACACTTATCCAAGTAAGGCAATTTAACGTGAATACCAATTTTCCCAATTATGTGCTTATAGAAAAACATTTTTTTTCTTGTTCTAAAATCTGTCCAGGATCACACATTACATTTAATTGTAATGTCTCTTTAGTATCCTTTAATATAGAACAGTTGTTATTTTTGAACTGATATTTTCAAAGAGCACAGGCCAGTTATTTTTTAGAATGTCTATTAATTTAGGTTTGTCTGATAATCGTTTTGATTAGATTTGAGTTACGTATTTTTGGTAAGAACATCACAGAAGTAATGTTAGATCCTTGGCATCTAACAGGACATGATGTCTGTCTCAACATTGGTGATTTTAATTTCTGATTTCACCCAGACTTCCTTATTAGTTAACCTGCTATATAGTAAGGGAGAGCTTTCTTTTGCTTCCTATATATTTGTTCATTGGTTTATGTTATTAGGGTGGAGTTGCATATTTTCTTTTCTAAGTAGATTATAATCTATTGTTACCAATTTTTTTGATGCTCAGATTGTCTCCGATTTGGAATTGGGAGCTCCTTCAGTGTGACCCCTATACCCTGTTGACACGTCCCCATTACTCATTGAGTACACTGTAATCCCCTGCTGACTCAACCGTGTTTCAGCCTTACCTTGTACTCTCTCAGCCTCAGCCCTGAAATCAGCCGTTTCTCCAAGGACTCCTTTATTGGAATGGTATTCCAATAAGTGGAATATATAAATTCAGATATATAAATTCATGTAAGCTTATGTAGAGAAATTGGCAAGCTGATTCTAAAATTCCTACAGATATTCAAAGAACCTAGAATAGCCAAGACAATTTTAGGAGGGGAAAATGTTTTAACACTTATGGTGCACGACTTCAAGACATTATAAAATATCTACAATAACCAAAATACTATGTTGGTATTTAGAAGCTAGGTGTGCTCATTACTACTTTTGTATTATTGCCTGTAGCCTCTTTCAGGATACAGAACTAGGAAGAAATATATCTGTCTGCCTGCCTACTATGCATCTATCAATCATACATATTATATACATTAAAAACTGTGATCCATGCTCCTGACCCATGGCCAGTCTTTTGTGAAGAGTCTCTTGCTCATTTTTTAAAAATTGGGTGTTCTCTCTTACGAAGTTGAAAGTTCTTTGTATGCTACTTATATAAATTCCTTTGTCAGATGTAGCTATTGAGAATATTTTCTGCCAGCCTATGGTTGTCTGTTTATTTTCTTTTGATGAGAAGGTTTTAGTTCTCATGAAGTTTAAATATAGCAGATTTTTGAATATATGGTTATTGTTTGTCATGTTGGAAAAAAATCTTCACCTATATGTAGGCAATGGAAATATTCTTTTATTTTACCTTCTTTATGGTTTATAATTTTAGTTTTTAATGCTTAGGTCTATGATCTATCTTAAATTAGTTTTTGTAAGTGGGTGAGTTGCAGTTAAGGTTGTTTTACCCCCTGTATGGTGACTTAGTTGTTTCAGCACCATTTGATGGAAATATTTTTCTTTCCCTTGAATTGCTTTGTTGCCTTTGTCGGAAATCAACTATTTATATAAATGTGAGTTCATTTCTGAACTCTGTTTTATTCTACTGATCTATTAGGTTATCCTTATTCCAGCAACATAGTATTTTGGTTATTGTAGATATTTTATAATGTCTTGAAGTCATGCACCATAAGTGTGAAAACATTCTCCCCTCCTAAAATTGTTTTGGCTATTCTGGGTTCTTTGAATATCTGTAGGAATTTTAGAATCAGCTTGCCAATTTCTCCACATAAGCTTACATGAATTTATATATCAGTTTGGGGAGAATTGATGTTTTAATATTACTGAGTTTTCTGATCCATAGACATGGTTTGCATCTCCACTTATTTCGGTCTTCTTTTCTTCCCCTTCTGCAATATTTTGAGGTTTTTAGTGTGGAATTCTTGTATATTTTTATTAAATATATATAGTTTTATAATATTATCAAATAGAATTTAAAAACTTTCAGTTTCTAATTATTTTCTACTATAATATAGAAAATAACTACTATTTTTTTTTTAAGCAGCTGTCCTTTACAGATGCAAGGAGCTGCTAACACTTTAATTAATTTATTTATTTTGTTAATCCTTACCCGAGGATATTTTTTGTATTGCTTTTTAGAGAGAATGGAAGGGAAGGGGGGGGGAAGGAGGGAGGGAGATGTGAGAGAGACATCAATGGGTTGCTTCCTGAAGGTGACAGGACAGGACGAGCCATGGGATCAAAACTGCTACCCAGGTACATGCCCTTCACTTGGGAATCAAACCCATGACCCTTCAGTTGTGTGGGCCAGTGCTCTAAAAACTGAGTCACACCTGCCAGGGCAAAAAATAACTACTTTTTGTTTATTAATCATGAATACTTATAAATTCAGTTATTAGTGCTGTTAGTTGCTTAGCAGATTCCCTAGGATTTTGTATATAAACAATCATGTCATCTGCAAATAGAAAATATTGATTTCTTCCCCTGTGATCTTTATGCCATTTATTTCTTTAGCCTAATTATTGCCTTACTGTACTGACTAGAACCTTTAGAACAGTGTTAAATAGACAAGATGAAAGAGATATCATTGCTTTATTACTGGTCTGAGGGGGAAAGCGTTGTATATTTCACCGTTAAGTATGATGGTAGGTGTCCTCCCTCTGATTGTCATTTATTGATTGAGGAGACCCCATCTTTTCCTAGTTTGTTAAAGGTTTTTAGTTATAAGTGGGTGTCGAATTTTGTCAAATACTTCTTCTACATAGATTTAGTTGAACACAGATTTTCTTTTTCTTTTTAACATGATTTACAATGATTGGGTTTTGAAAGTTAAACTACTTTTTGCATGGCTGGGATAAACCCCACTTGGTCATGATGTCTTCCCTCTGCTCTGTTTTCTGTAATATTTCATGGAGGCTTGGTATTTTTTCATAAGTGTTTGATCCATTTCATCAGTGAAACCATCTTAGTATGAAGTTTTCTTTGTAGGAAAGTTTTTGACAGTGAGTTCAATTTATTTAATAAATATGAAGGTTTTGAGATTTTCCTTTTTATCTTTTGTTAGTTTGGTAACTTGTCCTTTTAAGGAACTTTTTGTTTCATCCAAGTTGTCAAATTCATTGGCATAAAGTTGTTAATAATAGTTCTTTATTACTATTTAAAAAATGTCTTTAGTACCTATAGTTATTCCCTTGTTCATTCCTGAAATTGGTAATTTGTGTCTCTTTTTTGAAAGAGAATTTTGTTAGGATTTATTTATTTCATTAATTTTAAATAAATAAAAAAAGCCAAAATACTTTGGCTTTACATTTTCTTTTCTATTCTTTGTATTTCCTGTTCCTGAGGAGGATTTCTGCTCTTTGTTATTTTCCTCATTTGGCCTCCTTAGTTCCTCCCCCCTCCCCCTTTATTTTGGGTTTAACTAGCTCTTCTTTTCCTGGTTTCTTAAGGTAGAAACAGATCCTTAATTGTAAATCTTTCTCCTTTTAGTATAAGCTTTTACTGCTTTGTCTGTGCCCCACCAATTTTTATTATATTTTCATTATCGTTTCAGCTCCAAATATTTTCTTATTTCCCTCTTGATTTCTTTTTGACCTTGGGTTATTTAGGAATATGTTGTTTAATTTCTAGGTACTTGGGTACTTTCCTTTATTTTGAATGGCTATTGCTTTCTAATTTAATTCTTTTGTAGTGCTTGGGAATTCAGTCTTTGGAATTCGTTGTGACTTATTTTATAGCCCAGCATGTAGTCTGTCTTGGTGAACGTTCTATAAACACTTGAAAAGAAGTTTTGTAAGTGTCAGTTAAGTTAAGCTGATCAATAATGTTCTTATCTTCTATAGCCTTCTTGAATTTTGTTTGTTTAATCTTACTGTCCTCCATACTTAAAGGGCATATTAAGATCTGTAACCACTATTGTGGCTTTATTTATTTCTCCCTATATCCAGCTTTGGCTTCATGTGTTTTGAAGCTCTATTACTAGGTGTATACACCATGTAGATGGTTTTGTCCTGATGAATTCACCCTTTCACATTATAAAATCTTCTTACAGGTTACCAGCTGGTGCAATTTCTCTTCAGATTGAAGAACTTTCTTTAGCATTTCTTGTCATACAGATTTGTTTCTAGTGAACTTTATTTATTTGAGAATATATATTTTTTTCAGCTTTGTTGAGGTATAATTGACAAATAAGATTGTAATATGCTTAAAGTATACTACCTGATGATTTGATATACATAGACTTGTGAAGGGATTTCCACTATTGAGTTGATTACTACATTCATCAGCTCACATAGTTACCCCCTCCATTTTTTTTTTTTTTTTTGGTGAGAATACCTAGCTCTGTTTTTTTTAGCAAATTTCCATTATACAATATGGTATGATCAGGTCTAGTCACTATGCTACACCATTAGATTTTCAGACCTTACTCATCTTATAGCTGCAAGTTTTACCCTTTTAGCATCCCCTCCCCTACCTCCTAACCCCTAACACCCTAATAGCCATCAGTCTACTCTNTTTGTTATAGTTCACTTCCTTATAAGCATGGTTTAAAAAAAACATTTCTCAATGGTAAAAGAACCCCAAGGGATGTGGTCTTGGAAAGAAAGCGATGGAACACTATCAGGTGGCCCCACAGGAAGTGCTTCCTAGGTGAGTGTTACCCAGACAGATATGTACAGAAGTGAGCACCTACCCGAGCACCAGCAAGACCGGCATGGCCCTTTTCACCACTTTTACCAGCTTCTCCCTAGAATAAACATTAAAAAAAATTAATTAAAAAATTAAAAAAATTTAACATTTAATGCTAAATTAACCATGACAATTTTGAAATGTTAATTTGCCTTTTTTTTTGTTTTTTTTTTTTT